AACTGGAAAATAAAACTGGGGTTCTGATCCCCAGACCTTGGGGAAGGAAGATGAGGCATGTAATCTATGGTGGAAGATTCAAATTCTCAGGAAGAAGGTCTTTACTGTGACAAAACCAACCAACCAACCAACCAAAGAAAGGGGAACTGAAGCAAGGCCTTTGGAGGCCTGCAGCCCCAGGGAGCCCGGAGACGCCTCATCTACTGTTCTACGAGTAGGGCCCTGCACCCTCCTTTTATTGAGAAAACACAGAAGATTCTCTGCCTCTGCTCCTTCACCACCCACTAACTCTGCGTCCTTTGTGGACTGGCCGAGTGAGTGCAGACAAGCCAGTGTGCCGGTGTCCGCTGAGAACTGGCCCAAGGAAGCGGGACCCCACGCGCCACTCGGTGGGAGGAAACCGTGGCTCTGCTCTGTAGATTTACAGCCTAGGGAACCTGACCAGTCAACCCCGTCTCTAGGTCACGATGACGTGAGACTGATTGCGGCAATGGGTGGGTTCATCACCAGACCCAAAGGTCTTCCACCCGCTATGTAAGCTCTTGACGGCACGGATCTTCTTCTTTGGTGAACTGTCTTATTCCTTACAAGTTCCCCTCTGGCTCACTCAGTCCTTTTTTCTCTTTGCTGACTCTCCCTTCCCCATAATGCTGCAGGCCCCAAGGGGCTTTCTTAGTCTCCTCCTCAGAGGTCTCCTGCCTTCCACGCTCATGGCTCCCATTCCATCCTACTGACAACCTGTCCCACTACCTGCTCGACATTTCCCTGGGGACTTCGTCCAGCACCCCGATGCGATGGAGTGTCCTCCTCAACATGACATTCCGTGCTGTGGGGGTGCACAATTTCGGGTCCACTAGGTAAATAAAGTGAAGGGCTGGAGTCTAGCCCTTCAGGCAGATCACAGCCTGATGATGTCCTCTTGTGGGCGTGGCCTTCTCATAGGAGGGTCCTGGGGACGACCCCCCCTCCCTGCTTCACCTTGCTGCGGGAGAGCCACTCAGAGACCTGCCAGGGACACGGCCATTGGATCCACACGACTGTGCCCCCGCCGGCCTGTGCTCTCCCTGCACTCAGCACCACTGCGCGTGGCTGCATGAGTCCGAAGACGGACTGATGGACTAGTATCGGACTCGTGGACTTGATCCGGATGGGCTGGGATTTCCTGATATAAAATGACTTCTTGATAGAAAGCTCTCTCCTACACATACATAAATGTCACTGGGTGTGTTTCTCCAGTCAACCCGGCCTAACATACCTGCCCGGTCACTCAGCTTTGATGCCTCAGAAACCGAATGTTTGAATGTTTCTGCACCTGGCTCGGAACCAAGCACACCTGTTGACTCTGCCCTCAGAATGTCTAACTGGTTCACTGTCCCCGCCTCACGCCCCCACCCCCTCCTACACGCTGACCATCAAATCCTACCCTAAGGGCCGAGGGTTTATTCCACTTCTACATAACCTAATTTTCCCCAGTCCAATCTACATATTGGGAACACTTCATTGTCACTTCTCTTTTACTATGCCTCTTCACTGCCTCATAACTTTCAAGAGACAAATTTCATGGGGCGTAAATTGTCCTCTTCTCTGTTATTTTAAAACTCCTACAATTAGGTTCCAATCTACCTGAGCCAGATTCATCTCCCACTCTTTCAGAACTCATGACAATTCCTGCTCCTGCTCGTCCACCCACAGTGGCCCTGAACATTCTGCCCCTGTCCAGGATGGTTCCGAGCCACTGCCGATCAGCATCCTGCCCACTCTTCAAAGTCCTGATTGAACATCACCTTCTTCTTGGTCGTTTCTGATCATCCGGTTGAGAAGCCAGCACTGTCTCTCTCTCTCTCTCTCTCCACACACACACAGCACCCTTCGCACACATCGTCTTGTACTTTGGGCATGTCAGTCTCCAGGAGACTTGAGGGAAGTAGTCTAATAGCTGAAAGAGTGAATTGGGAAAAGCATATTCTGGCCACGAAATATCTTCACTTGATCTTAGCTGAAAGGCTGAGAAGCGACAGCCATGAAATATCATGAGGAACCATGGGGCTATGACCAAGTCATCTCCCTTGTGAACTGCAGCGCCCACGTTTGTGAGGTTAGCTCTCGGGCTCTGCACGGGGCGTGGCATCAGGACAGGAGGCGGAGATGTTAAAGAACTGTGAGCGTCCAGCTGCCACAGACATGAGAGTGATTTGGGTAACTGTTGACGAGAGCCTTTCCTCCGGGCCACACGAGCCTGCCAGCTGGGAAGGCCTTACCGTGCCCCTTCTCAGTGCAAACTGGATGGAGTCCAGGTCGGTAACAGGGCACCACACTTCCGCGATCAGGCACTTCTGGGTCACGTCGATGTTGCACAGGTTCAGAGTGTGGTAGATGGCCTTCATCTTCCGGACCTTGATGAACCAGACCCGGACGTTCTTAGCAGCAGCCTGCAGAACCCTCTGGCGGTGATCCTCCGTTTGGTTCAGGACCTTCAGGGAGAGAAAAGAACAAGGGAGGGCAGCTTCCGGCACTGGGCTCAGGCCTTAGGACGCGGATGGCAAAGAGGCACAGTCTTCGGAGAAAGGGCGTTGTGTGCTGCGTGGCCTCCGGGGGTGGAGACATTCTCTCACCGTTCCCTGATGCTGGGTTAGGTTCGGGGGTTGTGGATTGTCAGCTCCTGGCCTTGTGGTGCTCGGTTTCTGTGAGACTAAGTCACCGTTTTCCTCTTCTGTACGGAATGGCTCCTCATCCAAATCCCAAAGAACTGGAGTACTAGTTACTGATATTGTCATTTATCCTCAAGCTGAAGATAAACCTGATGAAATGGTTCCTAGCTTTTCTTTCTATATTCAGTCTTACCACTCCTAGAGGACGCGGCAGAGCAAAGGTCGGCCCTTGCCTTTCACTTGGGCAATCAAAGAGCGGTGAGATTCCACAGGGAGCCTGGGCCAGCATCAGGGGATGGTGGGAGAGACATGTGCAGGAGCCGCTGGGGTCAGGGGGAGGGGATTTAGAGTGTCACCGACTACTGCCATCATGGGGACAGGTAAGGCTTTACACCTCTGAAGATTTCTTGGGGCCAAAATTTTCCACGTTGATCCTTCGGAGACTGGGATAGTCTATTTTCCTTAGAGGAATGATATGCTGGAGACTAGAGGTTAGGGAAGAGGCAGACACCTCACATCCCATGTGGTATTTACGGCTGACTAAGGTTTCCCTGCTCCTCCTAATGAGGAGCTGGGTCAGCAACCCACCAACCACATTCCTGCATGAGTCTCTCTTGGGAAGAGGAAGGCACTGTAATATACTTGCTCATTTAATCACACGCCTTCACTTCACTTAACGCACAAGTCAGTACAGCACCACGGTGATGTCCCAGAAAGGCGGGGGGGTGAGGGGGTGGGGAGGCAGCCATGGCCCCAGGTGACGTGTTGCGTCCTCTGGGAATGAGGGTGCACAGCTCCCCTCACTCCACACGGCCGAGTACCTCACAATTGTAGCATGTGCTGTTTGAGTCCTCTTTTGACTCCTTAGTGGCTCTTTGAAAAGTGTCCATTGATAAAACTGGACTTAACAAGAGTCAAATTCTGGCCATGTGTCCTGACTCCATCACAGGCTTAAATCCCTCCATAAATATGGGAGACCAGAGGCCGCATGACTCCAGATACACTAACTCGGAGTCCCACCGACCAGCAGATCTCTGAGATCTCCCCTCCACTGGTTAACCCAAAGCATGTAGCTCAAGCAGACAGCTGTTGGCTAAGAGGACGAATTATGCACGGTGGGGGCCAGAGGGAGGATGTTTTTTCAGTGTTTAGAAAGAATTGCTTTTGATGGTCATTTGGGTGAAAGTCTACATTGCAAATGAGTTTCCTGGTCCACGGCTCAGGCACATTCTGTTTGGGGACATGAGCTGCCGCCCCTTCAATGTAACAGCACTCTTCCCACGTTGTCCCTGGGTTGCCCGGTTCCGTTTGCCCACCCGTCCTGCCCCGTCCTGCCTTCTGACCTTGGTTGAGGGGAAAATGCTGCCTTCCTGGGCTCCTGTGGTTGAGGGTTCTGGGGAGGATTCTCCTGACAGGAGTTACTGTGTACTCTGGTATCCTGCCACCATCAAGGGAGAGGTGATCATAGAAGTGGGTTCAGTCTCAGGGGTGAAGGATGTCCAAGGCCCACCTGTCTCTACTAGATGAGTCTGTCTCATCTTTTTTAGGGTTTTGAATTTTGTTCTACATTTTTCTCCTACTGGGATCCCAATCAGAGAGGTTGGTAACGGTAGCCGGGCACTATCTAGCTCTTCTTTCTGGTTTCAGGCTCACAAGAGAATTTTGAGAAAGGAAATTGAAAGATGATGGATATGCCTCGGGGAGTTTTCACAGTGCTAGAAGGAACGGCCTTTGGGGTTCAGGGCGGTTACTAAAGCTCGTACATGAATTCTCTCCCCAGGGAACAAAGTCCCCACCTGACCCCCCTTTCCTTCCATGTATGTAGAAAGCATGGCTCCTCCCTCAGGGTCCTTGATAGCCACTGTGCTTGTATGCTGCACACACTGTCGTTGGGAAAAATGTACCACAATCTCCTTCTGGGCACAGGAGCCACAGCAGGCTCTGAGGATAGACCATGTAAAGGCCTCAGGTGACCAGTAGGAATGTGTACAAGAGAAGAACTTGCTGTATATGTGATTCTGTTTTTCTTAGCTTAGCATATGAATCGTTTTTATGACAAGACACATCGCAAGCTGATGAGAAGGAGGGGAATTGGACACTCAAGACAACAACAACTTCAGATGCACAGCCTTCCTGTCTCAGTTGAAGACGACCAATGTTACTTCTACAGGCATGCCCTGAGACGTTTCCCGCTTCAGGGGATGTGTCCTTCACAGACATGGAGTGGTGGGGAGCCTGTGCAGGTATGCACTAACTACGGGTGTTTCGAGCAAGCACGGTGTTCTCCCAGCACTTTATTTCACAAGAACAGACTCCCTCCAGCCCTCGGGTACCATTTGGAGATCATCAATCCTGGTGTTCACTCCCGAAGCCATTTCCTTCCTCTCCTGCGGCGTCTCAGGACAGGGGTAGAGTGAGGCTCGGAACCTGGAACGGGCAGACATGGCCTGAGGAACACGGACGTTTCTTAACCACCCAGTTTCAACAATCTCCACCTTGCTCTGAGGGCGAAAACAGGGATTGCTTAGACCGACTTGCTCATCGAGAATTAACTTAGAGGAAGTGGCCTGACCATAGACATCTGATCTATCTGCACCTTCTCCGTAGCTACTGAGGTCCCTTGGGATTACACACAAAGCAAACCAACATTTTAACAAAGTCAAGCCCAGGGTAAGTTATCAGAGACCTGCGGCATGGAAGCCAAGCACGTGGGGCGCGGCCTCAGGACTCATCAAGAACCCAGCGCCCACCACACTGTGCCGGGTGTGGAGACTCAGCAGAGCAGGGTGCTGACAAACCCAAACCGTGGTTTTAAATGATTTCCCACAGGGAAAGGGAAGTCTAGCTTTGATAATGCAGGCATGCAAGGCATACGGTCCATTTAGACAATGCCCATAGGAGGGGGCTTCAAAAGTTCATGGGCAATTTCCATGATCTTTTGATGTTGTTTTTCCATTAACTTTGTGGAGCCACATCAGACACCTGAGGTCCATTTCCACAAGCAGGGGCCAGTCCCTGGTGGCCAGCCCACCCTGGTCAAGGCTGTCCCTTCCTTTGGGTGTCTGAGGCAGAACCCTCAGCAGGCTCTCCAGCACCCTGCGTCCTGGCCCATCGCCAACTCAGCAGCGTCTGACTGGGGAGATGGGGGCACCTTCCCAGACTCTGACTCAGAATTGGAGCAGGAGGTATTTCTCCAAACCTTAACTTCCAGAATGTCTCAAAGCTCTAGATCTAACAATTCCTCCTCTGCCTGGCCCTGGGTGGGCACTGAGGTTGTGTGTGTAAGTGTGTGTGGTGAGGGGGTCGTGCAGCAGGCCCCTGTGGTCTAAGGATCTGACAGGGGCGAGGGCTAAAGGGCTGCCGTCTTCCCCAAGGCCTCTGGAAGAGGAGCACACCTGAGACCCCTACTGTCATCGCCTGAGTAGAGGTGAGGGTCTCAGGGTGGAAGCCTTTCAGCACAAAGGGCTGCAGACCCTCGCTCTGAGCTCCGGTTCCAGCCCCACCCCTGCGACTGAAGGGGGGAGTGGCATGAGCACCCCAAGGCGGGAGCACACCCTCCTGGGAGCACGGTGCCGTGGAGGACACTGTCTTGGAGAGGAGCGGAGCCGCAGGGAGCTGCAGCTGCCCAGGCCCAGGCCCACAGCGCCACACACACAGCGCGGCCTCGGATGTTACATGATTTGGACACTGTGAGAAAAATGTTCTCACAAGGTCCAAGTTACATCTTCTCTCACAGAACATAGTTTGGATGTTAAGAGACTTGTAACTGAACTTCTGAAAAATGAACCTGGGGCCCTAGATGCTAGTTTTAAATAGCCATATTATTGCCAAAAATGTATACTAAAAGGGCTGGTGCCTCTTTACTTTGTCACCTGGGCGTTCCAGGTTCGGGGGTGTGGGGGCGCCCTCGCGAGCAGAGGCAGGTGTTTCTTACCCTTCGCAGATTTTCTTGACTCGGTTTTTCAGTTGATCGCCTTGAAAGAAAATGATAAACACAGACTTGTGCACGTAGTCACCCTGAAAACCAAAACCAAACACGGGGAGTTCAGACCTCCAAATCCACGGGGCAACCTCGTAAAGAACTTACTGTTGGGTGACAAAGGGGCAAAGCAGTCCTTCTGCGATAGGGTAACTCCGTCCTGTACCCACAACCCCACTCCACACTTTTAAGAACGTTTGTCCTGTGATCTGTCACTCACGGAACTTCTCAGCGCACCTGGGATCTTGACCCAGCACTGAGGAAGGAAGTCTGGGAGATGTCTAGAGAGCAGGTGTTGCTTTCAGAGTGAGAAACATGCGAATGAAGCTTGAGAAGAAAGCAAGGGGCGGGGAGTGGAACGAGCTGAGGGAGGTGGGCAGCTGCTTGGGCGTGGCTATCCAGACCCCCTTTCCTGTTGGAGGACAGGGGCGCCATCAGCCTGAGGAAGCTCCCCACGCAGTGGGACTACAGGCTGTGGTGTTCCCAACCCCAGAGCAGCCTGCAATTGGGCTGCACAAGCCTCCTCCTGTGATCACTCTCCTACTCAGGACAGAGCATTGTTAGCTGCATCACCCTCCGGTGGAGATGCCGCTCAGAAGCAGAACAAAGCACACCGAGGGAACGATGTGGCCACTGAGAACAGAGAAACCATCTCGAGGCTTCGAATTCATACGAATACCAAGGGGCCGTCAAAACGTGGCAGTGCACGTAACAATCGTTTATAATCCTCCAACTCAGGATCGACCACACTCACTTAGGTTTCTGTTATCAACTAGGCCCCATTATGTCAAATGCCAAGAGGCTAAGCTTCCTACTTCCCAAAGCATTGGGTGGGAAAAGCAATTCTCCTGTCTTGCCCCGTACATATTTTAAAAACAGGTTTCCAGGCACTGCAACAAAGAAGTAGACAAAAAACCTGACCAACTAAAACGTCATCAATTTAAACGAGGATCATGGTTTGGGAAATCCCCCTTCTTTCTTTCAATACACGGGTATTACCTAACTGGAAATCCCAGGTCTTGCTGTAACTTTCATACAGCACTAATTGTCTCTGAGTCCCAAATCAACCACAACACTAAAAGCTCAGATTTAAAATAATTGTTGGTGGGGGCGGGGGTCAAGTCGTTCCAATCAAATGAATAACTTTTCAGATAAAACTCAAAAATGTCTACGTATACGTCATGCATACATTCGATGTATAAACACGATAGAAGTCAGGGAAAAGGGGAAGCCCTTCCTGTTCTCAGATCAAAGCAGGGACACACTAAGGGCTCCGCTCCGTGTGTGGGGGGCGTGGGGGGTTGGGGGGGTCAGATCAGGGGGCACCAATGCCGAGTGACTGCAGGGCTCCCTGTTTAAGCCCTACGTCATGGGGTGCCCTTTCCTCATCTTACAGTCACGGGGTCCTCCAGAGGGCTCTCGATTTCAGCCTGGCGCAGGAACACGTTGCCCCGGCACACCCGCCATAGCATGCGCTCAAAAGTGGGGATGCGCTCCCGGTTGATCACCCCGGCCACGAAGCTGTGGGGAGAAGAGCCAGATTGGGAACTCTCTCGATGCCACCGCAGGGGGCAGTGGCTTTCAGGAGGGAGGGAGGAGGAACAGGAGAGACGGGCAGCACAAAGGTTCTGGGCCAGGATGTCCAAAGGGTTACCAAAGCCTCACTCACAGGTCACTCCTGGACCCAGGAGCGGGTGGACAGACAACTGAGGAACTGAGGCAATAGTGACTTCACTGGGGGAGCGACAGGGGGTGTGGACCACACCGGGCGACACTCAATGTCAGAGGGTGACACCAAAATGACTATAAAACTTTGGTACCACGTTTCCACCAAAATTTATTATTATTTTTAATAAAAACATTCTCATAGCTGTAACAACAAAGGTACTTTTTGTAAGCCCAGCTTACGTGTATCAATATACTTGCAAGGCTAAAACTTGGTGCTCATTTGCTTTTTGAACCTTCTAATGAGCTCTGGTCAGAGCTGTCCTTATTACTCAACTACGCAGGGTGCTTCGAACCCATGGTTTGGTCTGTATAGTCTACAAACACGTGCTGGTGTTGCCATCACTGCGTGGACGTGAGCTTATCCATTTTTGGTGTGGTTGGTGATTTTGTCCATTTTTGGGGTGTTTTAGCTATGATATCATGATAGCAATGATTTTTGACTTAAATCAGTAAGCTTGTTTTCAGAACGAAGTAGCCGGTCGAGGGCAAGCAGAATCAAAGGCTTCCGTCTAGTCGTTACTAATGGTGTGTAACTAATAATAGAAGCCAGCACACAAAGGTCCACAAAAACCGCTCTTAGTCGTCATATAATCTAAGAAATATCACGTTTAGGCAATTTACGACTACATGTATCACATTATTATTCTACATATAAAATTGATCATAAACATTACTAAGGATTCTATACGGTAAGTAGAGAAGAGACAATCGAGTAATAGGCAAAATGGAGCTCAAGAACTGGTCCATGGGGAGAGGTGACACCATGAGTTAGTGTTATTGGGGGGGAGGTAACACTGCCACACTGGGTGACATGAACCCTAGTGACACAACTGGCTTCGAAACACCTCTCCACAAGCTCAGAGGACAGTGCGTCTTTCAGCAAGTGGACTGGCAGCCTCTCATGAATCATGAACAAGCAGCCCTGGGTGAGGCAGGGCTGCCGAGGGACTTACCCAAGTCTCAGAGGTGTGCCTCTGCCCAGCTCACTTGGCTCCAAGAGGGATGAGGACTCTTCTAACAGGTCTGGATCCGCCATCTGCTGATGATGCAATTCAGCCTGAATTCACAAATCAATTAATATCTAATGAAAATAGTTAGTGGCATGCAGGGAACGAGGAACCAGGAGATAAGTTCAGAAAATAAAGATGAAAAACAAAGAGAACAAAACGAAAGAAACACCAAAAGAGAAGACAGTCCCACACAAAGAAGACAAGAATAAGGGAAGAAAAAAAGAAAAAAAACAAACAAACCAGGTAAGAAAGCATAAATGGCCCCAGTAAAGCATCTGGGGAAATGGTTGTAGAAATAAAGAATGAAGAAAGAACATTAAATCAAGGCGACATGTATAAATCTGTTACTAGGTGGAAGTCATTTATTTCACCCATTCCCTGGACGAGCTGTGAAAGGGTCAGGACCTAGCTCTGTCTGAATAGGAAGCTCAAGCTCTCTCCCTTGCGAGTGAAAACCACTCTCACTCTCAAGATCCCACGGCCTGGCAGCTGCAAACTAGCCCTGGCCCTGGGTGGGAATGCAAACGATGGAGACTCTCTTTCCTAGGAAGAAAGGAGGGCACCACCATTGTCCTGAAGACAGTCTCTGTGCTCAAGTTCTCTGATCTGGAGGAAGACAGAAGAGGCTTCTCCAGACACCTCGGATTTCCATGTCCTTGAAAATTCACAACAGGAGAGCTCCCCGCAGACACTGTACATAACACATTGGGAACCATGCAATGTAAGGGCAGTTCTTGCCAAAAGGATAAGAGGCCCAGTAGCTGGGCAGGTCTGAGCCTCCACTGGTTCCACACAGGGAAGAAAGGGGAAAAGATATGAGTGTCCCGTTTGCTGGCTAGGAGTGCAGGGATATCGAAAAGTTCATTGGGTTTTACAATGTAAGGGTTCTTGAGACCACAGCTTAAGGCACCAGTGTCAGCCAAGCAAGGTGAAGAAAACGGCAACAGGTCATGAGGCGCTTCTGGGGAGGGTTAATTGATTTGATTGGAAATGATTTCCACCACGACAGTTTATACAATGAAATGGGGTAGAGGGCACTTCCTATACACAGGCCTGTCTCTCTTAGCATCTCTCTGCTCAACTCATCCGACCCCCTAATTTACGCCCATCAGAAAGAGGTGGCCCTTAGAAATAAAGTCCAGCCTGATAAATAAACATCTCTGTCGGATCCGTATACTACTTGACCAAAGACCATGAGAACAGTCCTTATATGCAAAAGCTTAATCAAACAAAAAGGTAATTTTTCTTTATCACTTTCATTCCAAATTTCAACTTGATTCTACTCCTTTCTGCTCCACTATCAAACAAGCCACGTGGGAACCTCCCTTTAGATAGTCACATGACCATAAGCATTAACAAAAAGTATAAACCAGCTAAGTCTGAAGGCTTAACAACAACAACAAACAACAAATAAAAGCATTTGTGTTGGGAAATAGGTTACTGATGCAAAATCAACAAACAGAAGGAGGGGCAGGCCCTGGGCAAATACCGTCAGGAGACCTGTTTACTCTAAGAGGCTGGGGGCACAGGCTACCACTTGCTGCTAGATGGAAATTAAGGGGTTCTTTCTGTTTCTACTTGGATTCAAATCCGCTATCTGCCGCAGGCATCTTGTTTTGACGATGACTGCTTGCAATAGTTGAACTTGTTGTTGCAAAGACCAGTGAGACACACTGTTGCTTACAAGACACTCTGCTTCCTGTGTCCTGGCTCACTCTTTCCGGCTTGGGAAGACCTGTAAGCCAAGACTGCGCACAAACACCCGCGCTCTGACAGAACAGCAGAGTGCTCGCCACAGGCTGATCCAAAGACTATGGGAGACCCTCTGGGATTGAAAAAACTAAACAGGACAACCACAACAGCCAGCAGAGTTCAGATGAAATAGAAACGAGCAACCATAGTCCAATGACGAATTTCACAATTGAGAACCCTGAATCTTAGAAAACCTGAGCTTTTACATAAAACAACTGTGGAAAACTAGGGTACCATAACCCCGAACTACAGGGCTGCAAAGCCACATCTCATGCTACGGAGTGTCCCCAGGTTATGAACGAGGTCTGTTTCCCAATCAGTCCTTCCATCAAACTTGTAAGTCAGGACAGGTTATTATAATTCTTACCTGCGTCAGTCAAATGTTTGTCTTAATATATAGTATATTTTACCTTTCTTTTGTGTTTGTGGAAATTTTTCATTATCTTTTAAAAAGAACATTTTATTGGCATATAATTAACAAATCGCACATTCAATAGTTCAATCATATTAAGAATAGTTGTACAACCATCCCCACAATCAATTTTAGAATAGTTTACCTTCTATGCATATAATACTTAAAAGAAACATGCCCAAATAGGCTAAAACATCTTAAACATAACTATAACCAAAGTAACTACATAGGGTTCTATACTGAATGTGTGTAGGTATACACTATATAAAAAATTTTTTGTATGAGCCCCTAATAAAATGTTTTTTAAAAAAATAAAGAGCTGCCTTGTAGCAGAAAAAAAAATTTTTTTTTAATTAAAGAAACAGCTTTGAGAGAGAAAAAAGGCCATGATGAAAGGTTAACGCTCACTCTCATTCCATCAATGTGTTGCATTTCCAAAGGGGCGTTCAGTTGGTAACTATGATAACAATCATTATTAACTGGGTGATGCAGAAATCGATTGAGAGGTGGTTACCACAGACGCCGACGAGGAGCCTGGTGTTGGGAGGATGGACCTGGTGCTGAAGGGTCAGGGTCTGCTTCTGCTGCTCGCTTGACTAGTGCAGTCACGTTCATGAACTAGGTAACAAGGGAGGTGTGTACAGAGGTGGGTTTTTTCTCACCACCAATGGCCGTGTAGCAGCTAAGGCCTTTGGGAACTGTAAACTTGGTAAGCTCTCTGAATTAGCATCTTGCTCTTCTTACGTTGCCATCCCTGCTGCAATGAAGCAAAAGGCTGCACCTAACTCTTTTCTTAGAAACGTCTTTGGTCCTCGAGGCTTGGGGCCCCAGAGGCCATCATCCGCTGCTCTAGTGCTGTAAAGTCTTTATTGGGAGCCGAGGAAGTCTACGAAATTAACTGCACTGATGTCCAACTGCAGTTGATTCCCAGTATCATCCCCAGGTTGCCTGCCTTTGGCGATGCTGTCCACTCGCTGCAGACCCCAGGAGAGCACACAGGAAGTGGGTCACAGCTTGTCCCACATTTGCATTCATCGTTGGCTATACTTCACTTTGTCCCTAGATTCAGGAATATTTTTGATATCATAATATGTTAATTATTCCTTGAGAACTCCTTGAAATATAGGCTGGTCTGCTCAAAAAGGTCCGCTGTCACATATGGGTATCGAAGCAGGCTAGGCCTCCTGATCTGCTGGCTGAAGCAGCAATGCGGTGTTGCTGCAGGGGGAACACAGCCCGTACGTTGGCGTGAAGGCGTGTACAGTGCTTGGATGTCTGGATGTGTTGTCAAGCACAAGAGGAATCTTCTTGACCAGGCAATAACGGTCAAAAGCAGAATAAAATGGTTCAAAACCAATCTTTCAAGACAGCAGTTGTAACCCAAGCGTCTGCGTTTGTCTTCCAAGTAATAGGAAGAAATGCCTTCGCAACCCTGTGAAGTGTCTGGGATTCAAGCAAAGACCTGAACTTGAAAACCCTGACATCAGGGTGCAGGGCAGCAACGATGAACATGTAACTCTCCTCTAGTTCCTCAATGCACCCCCACCCCACTATCACGATCCCAAGTCTACCTTACAAGTCTGGCTAGACCAGAGGATGTGCACTGGTACAGAACTGGAAACACAGGGAATCCAGGACAGATGATCCCTTCAGGACCAGTGGTGAGCGTGGGCGATACCGGGGTGGGGGTG